CATTTGTAGTTTCACCGCAGCTGGAGTGCCGGAGTTTTCCTACCCTTGTCTTAGGGGTTAACTTCACGTTCTGATGCCGTTTGCACAGCACTGGTGCCCCTAGATGGCGCTGATGAGTAAAGGAATTACGTCAGCGTCATCTAGGGCTTCTAGTGCTATGTGAACGGAATATAGCCAGGCAGAACCTTTACAAATGACCCCCTATGTGTCTACGCTTGTTATTGATGGACATCACTGACATATATAAATGACTTATAATTGGTATTTGTTTTCGAATTTAATGTTTGTTTTTGTTCTTTTTGGAGAAAAGAAAAGGACGTAAAAGTGGTGTCTTTTGCACTGTCACCGTGCCTTCTTATGTGACGTTGCTCAACCAATAGACACCTCAATGATTTACATATATTAGGCATAATAAGATTTTTAGAAATAAACTCAGTCATTCCAGAGCAAAAGGATGAAAATTGTGATCACTCCAAAAAGCATACGTATAAAATCTTCAACTTTGCATCTATGACACATGGGCGAGTCTGCTCTCCCCATGCGGTGCAGTATGTGTGGGGTCTAGTACATCCTATGCAGATATTTCAACTGAATGAATGTATCACAAGGGGGAAACATTATATTTATATTGCAGTCAATAGTATTCACTGGTTACGTTGAACTTACCTTTACTTTATTATTCATCTACTTGTGTGTAAACATGAATGGCATTTCCATAGGACCTCCTCTCCTGAATCTCGCCTCTCCATTCATGACCCTCAGTCCGCCTTAAATCAAAATCCTTGCCTTCGGCCCTCCTGCCTGAATCTTGCTTTAATAATTCCTGTGGTCCCTTAGCTATTTGTTCCTTACCTCTTCACGTAGTTGATCGGTTTCTCTCTTCTCCCCCATTTGTGACGTAAAGTGAAACTGATACTTGAGTCTACGAGCTGCTTTCAGTTTCCATCTTCGCATGGCATGTTCCTCTTTCTCTGAAGAAAAAAAAAAAAAAAAGAAGAGAGAGAAAAGGCGGCCAGCATGTTATAGAGCATGCCAAACAGACATTGGTCTTTTAAAATGACCCTGTCACTTTAAAATATAGCCACTAGATCAGTGTAATACAAGAAGCTGAATACTTACCTTTTGTTGGACAGGGAAGTAAATCTTTGCTTTTGAAACTAGTATAAACTACCTGAATTTAACTGGTCTTCTGCCTCCTGCAATCATAAAGCAGCACTTAGACTGGCAGAGGGAAGGGCAATTATTAGGGCAGGGGTGGGCAAACAAGATGTGCTTTAACTACAAATCCCACTATACATTTGTCTCTGGGAGTCATGCCTGTGGCTGTGAGAATCTTGCAATGCCTCATGGGATTTGTAGTCCCACAACAGCTGGAGGGGCAGAGTTTGCCCACCCCTGAATTAGGGCCAGTCAGAGGTCCTGCGTTCACATGGGCTGACAAGGAACTTGGAGAAAGCAGGGAGATGATGACCTCATCAGCCTGCTGCCACTCCTTTGCTGTCCAATCACAGGCTGGGGGAGGGATGGTGACCAAGCTATGTTGTTTAAAGTAGTATCAAATGCTCAAACTTTTTATAGTGATGAATCCAGATCAAATAAATATACATTGCCCGGCAAAATATTTTTTTTTAATTTTAGCTCATGTGCTTATAGTCATAGAGGGTAATTTATCAAAACTTGAGCAGATAAAATCTGCATGGCAACCAATCAGCTTCTATCTTCAGTTCGTTCAGTTATGCTTTGACAACGAAAGAGAGAGCATGGTGGGTCCTCCATGGTAATCAAGTAAGTGACCAGGAGTGAGCATGGTGGGTCCTCCATGGTGATCAATGTAAGTGACCAGGAGTGAGCATGGTGGGTCCTCCATGGTAATCAATGTAAGTGACCAGGAGTGAGCATGGTAGATTCTCCATGGTAATCAATGTAAGTGACCAGGAGGGCGAATGGTGGGTCCTCCATGGTAATCAATGTAAGTGACCAGGATTGAGAATGGTGGGTCCTCCATGGTAATCAATGTAAATGACCAGGAGTGAGCATGGTGGGTCCTCCATGGTAATCAATGTAAGTGACCAGGAGTGAGAATGGTGGGTCCTCCATGGTAATCAATGTGAGTGATCAGGAGTGAGAATGGTGGGTCCTTCAAGGTAATCAATGTGAGAGGCCAGGAGTAAGAGTGGTGGGTCCTCCATGGTAATCAATGTGAATAACCAGGAGTTAGCATGGTGGGTCCTCCATGGTAATCAATGTGAGTGACGAGGAGGGGGAATGGTGGGTCCTTCATGCTAATCAATGTGAGTGACCAGGAGTGAGAATGGTGAGTCCTCAATTGTAATCAATGTAAGTGACCAGGAGTGAGCATGGTGGGTCCTCCATGGTAATCAATGTGAGTGACCAAGAGTGAGAATGGTGGGTCCTCCATGGTAATCAATGTAAGTGACCAGGAGTGAGAATGGTGGGTCCTCCATGGTAATCAATGTGAGTGACCAGGAGTGAGAATGGTGGGTCCTCCATGGTAATCAATGTAAGTGACCAGGAGTGAGAATGGTGGGTCCTCCGTGATAATCAAAGAATAGTAAAGAGAATTGTCCTGAAATAAAGAACAAATTTGTTGAAACTCTTATGATTTTTGGCTTTTTACATTAGACTGTATAGTAAAACAAATACAACAGTGCTTTATCTCTAGATCTTTGTCATGTCTTCATACAAACAACAGGTCCTGGTACTGCATCAAACAACGTCAGATAATGAGAAACATATGTACTTTCCAACATCTGGTGGAGGAAGATTTATGTAAATGTGTCATTGTTCAAAGTATGCAAATTTGGAAGCTGAACAAGGAAGAAAATCCCTACCAATGCATCTGATAGAGGAAAAATGTAAACATGGCAACTCATTGTAATCCAACCTACAGGTTTGTTTTGTTAAGACCTAAAATATACATTGCCATTGTAGAATGTGTAAAACAATATCCCATTCAACTAGGCAAAGGGAATGACAAATCTGGTTACTAATTGACCCTGTGTTCACATTGAGTGTCGCTTCTTTTTCTGTTTTCCACCACATTAGGCTACAGCAGCCTTGAAGGCTGTCCGCGGTGTCCTTTAGAGGTATTACTAAACAGAAAATCAGTTTGGTGTTGAAAAAAGGGACCGGCCCCGAAGAACATAGGTCTCTGGCAAAAATCAGAAATTGACCAGCTAAAAAATGATTAGCTAAGACAAAAGACGTAGAATTCTTTAGGGCTGCAACAACTAATCGACATAATCGATTATAATCGATTATTGAAAAAGTTGTCAACTTTTCCAATAATCGATTAATCGGCTTCCGATCAGCTGGCCGTTTACAGCTCCACACGCTGTGCGCATTATGATGTTGCCCTTGGACACTTGACATCAATGATTACTGTTGGAACAATGAACAATTAGGCATCTATAGCAGCTGTTCTCAACCAGGGTTCCTCTGGAAGCTTCTAGGGGTTCCTTTAGAAATGAGGAATGTATCTCTAAGATCAGTAACCATTGACATTAGTGTTTTTTTTTGGACATCTGTAAGGGGGGTTCTGTTCACTTACCACCAGTGCAATGGGGTCGCTCTCTCATTGACCACCAGTGTAAGGAGGCTCCTCTACCAATGATCAGCAATGTAGGGTGGTCCTTTTCCCAATGACCACCAATCTAAAGGGGCCCTTTTCACTGATTTTCAATTTAAAGGGGCCCTTCTCCACTGACCACCTATCCAAAGGCACTTTTCCATTGACTCTCAATCTAAAGGGGCCCTTCTCCATTGAGTGTCAATCTAAAGGGGACCTTCTTCAATGACCACCAATCTAAAGGGGCCCTTCTCCATTGAGTGTCAATCTAAAGGGAACCTTCTTTGATGACCACCAATCTAAAGGGGCCCTTCTCCACTGACTGTCAATCTAAAAGGTCCCTTCTCTATTGATTGTCAATCTAAAGGGGCCCTTCTCCATTGATTGTCAATCTAAAGGGGCCCTTCTCCATTGATTGTCAATCTAAAGGGGCCCTTCTCCACTGAGTGTCAATCTAAAGGGGCCCTTCTCCAATGACCACCTATCTAAAGGAGCCCTTCTTCATTGATTGTCAATCTAAAGGGGCCTTTCTCCACCGATCACAAAGTTTAATGGCCCATCTCCTCTGATTACCAGCATAAGGGAGCTCTGCACTGGCCACCAATGTATGGAGGCACGTTTCTACTGACCACCTGACCATGCCAATGTACCCTGAATTGTAGATATATTCATTATTATCAGGGGGTTCCCCAAAACCCAAACGTTACTTCAAGTGTTTCTCCATGTTAAAAAGGTTGAGAAAGGCTGATTTATAGTCCAGTTTAAGAATCACGGACTTCAAGTATTGACATCTGGCTATCTGTAGAGCCAGAATCTGCTGTGGTTATATAACGGATCCAACGTGATTATATTGTAAAGCGCTGCACAAACTGTTGGCGCTATAGAAATCCTGTATTATAATAATAATAATAATAACACTTTCCTTCCTTGAAGGACTGGCTAAGCCACAATAAGATTGTCCAGCAAGCTGGAAAATCTCTGAGCGATAACAAACACTTCCAACACTTATCAGCTCCTAATTAAGCGCTAAACAGCTTGCTATTTACCATGGGGCCACATTTAGGGTCAGTATTGGTATCCCATTCATCTATTATGGTTCTATTAGTAACAATAACATTAGCAGTAATAATAATAATAATTTATATTGAAATGTTTATGTTTTATTTGATAGAATACTGAACGCTTTTCTCTTCCCAATAAGATGCAATGCTGCCAGACAGCCCAGCCTTATCAACATGTATGCAAACCAACAAAATGTCGGCACCTTACCAGCGACAGCTCCACGGAAGAGACGCACTTCCGGCACAGCTCCAATCACGAGGCGCGTTAGAAGCGGGGGGCTGAGCTTGTGTTTCCATGGTAGCCGCTCAGCCACGCTGATGCCCGGACTTGTGTTTTCATGAGCAGGGACCCCAGGAGGCGACATGTCCAAGGGGAAGGTGAGCTGACTTTCTGTACTGCGTGTCAGATAACGTCGGAGTCTAGAAACGTCTATTACTTCTGGGTAATCTGTCGGCTTCTACGTCAAACGATCTAAATAGAATATTACCAGGTCACATGTTATCTGATTGTACTGGGTCACATGACCAACCATTGGCCTCAATGATGTAACTTGGAGGGATATGGTGTTTGCAATATCATATTATTAGTATTATTATTATTATTACGACTGTGTAGTATCACTTAGCCTTTATGTAAAAATGCTAATTATAGTACACATATCTGGTTAGCAGCTATATACTGTATGTTGCACAGTATATGTGGTCTCATTGACCACATATAATGTCAGGGAAATCTAAAATAGTACGTTAGTCCTTTTTCCGTTTTCTCCCTACATCTTCTTCCTTTCCTCTCCATGTTGTTTTCCCCTTTCCTTTTTCTTTCTTCCTTTCCTTTTCCTTCTCCCTTTTTCTTGCATCATTTTCCCTCTCCCTTTCCCTCTTTCTTTCCCCTTCCCTCTTCCTTTTCTCTTAAATTCCCCTTCCCTCCCTTTCTCTCCTCCTTTCTTTTTCTTTTCTCTTCTCTTTCTTTCCTCTTCTTTTCCCCTTCATTCTTCCTTATCCCTTTCTTCGTCCTTTCCACTTTCTTCGTCCTTTCCTTCTTCCTTTCCCCTTTCTCTCTTCCTTTCCCCTTTCTCTCTTCCTTTCCCCTTTCTCTCTTCCTTTCCCCTTCCTTCTTCCTTTCCCCTTCCCTCTTCCTTTTTCCCTTCCCTCTTCCTTTTTCCATTCCCTCTTCCTTTTTCCCTTCCCTCCTTCCTTTTTCCATTCCCTCTTCCTTTTCCCCTTCCCTCTTCCTTTTTCCCTTCCCTCTTCCTTTTTCCCTTCCCTCTACCTTTTTCCCTTCCCTCTTCCTTTTTCCCTGCCCTCTTCCTTTTTCCCTTCCCTCTTCCTTTTTCCCTTCCCTCTTCCTTTTTCCCTTCCCTCTTCCTTTTTCCCTTCTCCCTTTTTCTTTTTTGCCTCTTTCTTTCCCCTTCACTCTTCATTTCCTGTCCCCTTCCCTCTTCTTTTTCTCTTACTTTCCTCTTCCTTCTTCTTTTCCCTTTCCTTTTTCCCTCTCTCCCTTCCTTTCTGCCCTTTCACCCTCCTCTCTATGTTTGTCTGAAGCTTTAAATAAATCAGTTTTAATGCGCTATCACTAACTACCATATTTTCCATCAGGTTATTGCAACCAGAGCCCTATATGGATACCAGCGCCCCAAGGATCGGTAAGTAGGAATCTATCCTGTGATTGTAATAGAGCCAGGTCTTGTCGGTCAGTCACATGTCCTCATTGTGTTTTGTATCAGCGAGCCCCGAACCTGCATCCGATACAAGTGTACGCTCATTAACACCATCGCAGATGTGCTGAGGCAGAGGCCAGGCTGGACAGAAGTGAAGGAGTAAGTTTTTTTTACAAATATTCTTTTCCTAAACCAGGAGGTAGAGTGAGGTAAAAAATAGAACTGCCTTTGTTTTACCTTTTCTTTAAGGCACAATGCCCAATGCACATTAGATTATGCAATAAGTAATTGTTATCTTCATTTGAAAATATTTCTCCAGTGATGGCGAATGGGACTTTTATTGGTGTGAAGTCGGTTGGCTGCGGGAAAACTTCGACCATATTTACCTGGAGGAACATGTGCGCATCTGTCACTTCCGCAACCACTATGAGGTGACTGAACGTTTTCTACTGAATGTGATTTTAAAGTACAGAAAATGGAGTATGTCAAACTAACCAATCCGATTACATGGCTGTTTTTTCAGTGCAGGTTGGTCAGCGCTGCCTTGCCATGTGATCACTATCACACAACAATCTGCAGTTTTCTCTGATTCTGGTGTTATGAAGGCAAAACAGTCACCAGGTTTCCTGCATGCTCAGTTTTAAAGGAGAACTATGGTGTCAGGGCTTTTCCCTATAGTTCTCCTAAGGGTCACGGGAGAACACAAACTAGCGTTCTCGAGTGACCCAAAGCTCAGTATACAGCGAGCTACAGCTCGCGGTATACTGAGACGCCGGGACGGATCCCGGCATTACTGTCTTGATCCACCCAGCTTCGTGAGTGACAGCCGGCTCTGCCTATCTAGAGGCAGAGCCAGCTGTGCCCGCCCCCTCCCCCGTCCGTTCCGCCAGTCAGCGCTGGAGGATCGGACAGTGGAGGGGGGGAAACCCTGCAGGGAGCCGTGAGTGACGGTCACGGCGCTCTGCAGAAATAGATCGAGAAGTGAGCGAGCGACGGTATGTGTTCGCTCACTTCCCGATCTACTGAGCCGACCTGTGACAGTTTTATTGTCGCAGGTCAGCTCAGATTATGAGGCTGAGTGAAAATCACTCGCCTCATAATTCTCCTTTAACAAGACTGTTGTGAGCAACAGCCAGCACAGTATGATATCGGCAATCATTTATTTTCTGTACCCATAGGAGCTCCTGTGTGTGCAGATTGTGCATTGGCAACCAGCCAACTTCCCACTGATCTACTATACGCTTTCCTTTTTATTTATTTTTGTGTTGTTAAGACTTTCCATTGATATTTTTAAAAATGAAAACGGAAGAATCATAACAGGATATTCATCAGTGATCATTAAAGCAGGTCTTGTCTGAAAATGCCAAGTCTGCTTATCTTGCAGACCCCCACGCCTCAAAGAAAATAATACAATTAGCTGAAAGCAATACAAAATTAATTTTTTTAATACTTTCCTTTACACCCTTTCAGCCACTTCTTGTAGGTCCCGGTCACATCTTTGGGCCTTATCACAGCATTCGGGAAACGATAAGGACTTCAAATCCAGCAAGAAGATGATTCAGCACATGGGCTTTTACATCCTCAGCTTTTCCAAGATCCCATGAGAAGGCCCAGAGATGTCACCAGGCCTAGGAAAGCATGCCGGAAGCCGCGCGTCAGGTATTGTTCTTCTGATGTTTTAATCTTTTATTGCATTCAGTTTGTATTTCTCATTTTACTTGGCTGCAGGATAATCAGATAAACAGACCTTGAGTTTTCATTCAAGGTTTGCTGCGAGAGATATTTAAACCTTCAGGGGTTTTGCATATATCTACTGTTAGCAAGCAGTAGGTACAGGTGAAACTCGAATAATTAGAATATCGTGCAAAGTTCATTTATTTCACTAATGCAACTTAAAAGGTGAAACTAATATATGAGAGAGACTCATTACATGCAAAGCAAGATAATTCAAGCCGTGATTTGTCATAATTGTGATGATTATGGCTTACAGCTCATGAAAACCCCAAATCCACAACCTCAGAAAAGTAGATTATTACATGCAATCAATAAAACAAGGATTGTACATAGAACAATATCGGACCTCTGAAAAGTACAAGCATGCATATGTACTCAGTACTTGGTTTGGGCAAGTTTACTTACTGCAATTACTTTTGCACGATATTCTAATTATTCGAGTTTCACCTGTATATATGAAAAAGGTTTAAACCTGTGTTTCCACCACACACTCCCGTCTGAAAATCTCCAAAAATGTGGGAGGTTGCAAAGGATCTTGGGGGCGGACGCAAGCGCAGTACAGATCTTTGGCCGGGAGGCGAGAAGAGACACAAGGTAAGTCAATGGAGGCACCATGCACCCGCACAGACTCCGTGGGACAGGAAGTGCCTGGAAGTCAGCGTTGGACAGGAGACCTTCACCAGCCCTGGAGGGACTCCTGAAAACTAAAGGAAATAAGATGATCGGATCAAGAGGCATCATTTAAGGTAAGTCCTTAGACTAGCAGTGGGGGTGGTGGGGAGAATATTCTTTAATGTCACTTTAAGGGGTTAAATAACACTAAGCCAAGTTTTGTGTCTTTCTTTCTTCAGCTGACCCGCAAAAACTTCATGGTGAAAAATCTGAAACGTTTCAGGAAGCTGCTCGAGAGGGAGTTGGGGAGACTGGAGGCAGCAAAATGCGACTTCTATCCAAAGACATTCGAGCTGCCATCGGAGTATCACCTGTTTGTTGAGGAATTTCGCAGAAATCCTGGAATCACCTGGATCATGAAGCCTGTAAGTTTTGGTAGTTGGGTTTGCAATGCAGGAAGTATTTTTTTTCCCCAGCAAAAACAATTGACAGATCATCTTTGCTGGCCAGTAGGAGACTGTATTGGTAAGTTTCCAGGTCTGCACACCTGCTGTGGCCAATATGAGGAGTTCCCACCATCTCTGCTGGATTTTATTTATTTTATATTATGGAGAACGTAACTGGATTTGCTGGAACACATGAAGGTGGGCATGAACACCTGTTAGGAGTTATGGAAAAGAGATCTCACTACTGGATTCCTCAAGAGCAGGGATGGCCAAACTCTGGCCCTCCAGCTGTGGTGAAACTACAAATCCCATGATGCATCTCTCTCCGGGAGTCATGTCTGTGGCTGTGAGAATCTTGCAAAGCCTCATGGGATTCGTAGTTCCACCGCAGCTGGAGGGCCGGAGTTCTCAACTGGTGGGTCGTGACCCAAAAGTGGGTTGCGACCCCATGTTCAATGGGTCGCCGCGTGCCTTCCACTTATCTAGGTGAGAGGCTCCTCAGCCGAGCTGCCATTCAAAATATGCTGCCCAGTGTCGAGTGTCAGCTTGAGGTGGGATGGGCTGGGGGTATGGCTGTGAGGGAGCTCCATCCATGTGTGCATTGCTTACATCTCCCTTGCATATCCTGTAGAGGTCCCTGGACCGGAGTGACATCACATTCTGGCTCCCGAAACCTCTACAGGGCGCGCAAGGGAGCTGTACAAGCAATGCACATATGGATGAAGCTCCGTCACAGCACAGCAACCAACACTGGACCTCAGGCTGAGGATCCACTCCAGTTCTTGTAAGGTTCCCACTAGTACAGTGCGTTAATCACATAGTACCGTGCGACCAATGCACTGTACCATGCAATCGCACCTACTGTGCATTCGCGTGTGGAAGGTGTGTTGCGTTGCCATTCATTTGAATTGTCCCTCAAACACACCTCCCACCCACAGTTCGTACACCCGCACCAGAAAGCGCGGTACCCGAATGCCGTGCGTTCCAGTGCAGTGCGACTTAATGACCGAGGACAAATGTGGCTCCTGAGGTTACACACTGCTCTAGAGACATTAGAAGCCATAAGGTGAGTAAGCCCATCAGACTGTGTCCTAAATACTTTTTGGGTGGGCTGACTCACATTCCTGTGCATGTGCTTAAATTCCACTGTTCTTGTTACTTTTCCCCAGTCATCTTCCAGGACAGCCATCGAGATATAGGCTCCGCCTGCCTGCAACAGGAAACACATCAACCACATTAAATAAATAGACTCCTCCTTCCATCCCAAGTCAGTTTTTTTGTGTTTCCGCCGGCTACACAGGGACATCGTAATGTTTGTTATTTTTAGGGCTCATGTTTGTTTGCCTTTGGGCTGAGCCTTACCCTGCTAGGCATTGGGACCTACTCCAGGCTTACCTGCTGCAGTGCCTACAGGGATTCCCTATCGGACCCCCACCCGATTTCTGGCCAAGGTTCCCTTCCATCACTCAGGGAAGGCAACCATCCTCCTGCACGTGAGTAGGCACCAGATGGTGGCCCCCCCTGGTGTACAGCAGTGGCAAGGTGTAATAACCTGGAGTGTGCGTGTGTCCTATTGTGGACAACTGTCTGGTGACAACAGGGGCAGCATGAAGAGGCGTACGGGGAGGCTGGAGGTAATCCAGGGGTCCCGGATACCTCGGCAGCATATAGAGCACTTACCTGATGGTAGGGGGAGCGGTGCAGTCGGCGACAGCGTGGGGGTGTTGGCCTCGCGCGAAACGCTGCATCGTCTTCTTGGCTGGTTGCTGGATTCTCTGCTTAGGCTGTGTATGGCGGGTGACGTCACTGGGGGCGCCGTCGCCACGTGTAGCACGCGCCGCGTCGTCGGCTGCGGTGACGCACTTCCGGTGCGCCACTTCCGGTTTCGGCTCAGCTTCGCGCCGGAGACATAGGGAGCTGGAAGGGGACAGTAGTACAGCTCCTAGATAGACAGTAGACGCCACCCGGCCACGACTAACTGGGCACAGCCGCTCAGCAGCTGTACACCATAGCCGACCTAGACCACATACGGCCGGTGGGGACGTCAGGAGCGGGCCGATAGCGTGGTCGGCAGTGAGCTACAGAATGCCCACAGAGGCCGGACCGGGTGCAGCTGCTCCAGATCTGGGAGAGCATGGCATTGGCGCTAAGGTAGGCAAGTTTTTTATGGAAATTCACCCCTACCCTTTACCCTGCTTGTGTTGGGGGCCTGTGGCAGGACAAGCGGGGTAGTGTTTTGGGAAACATTGTTTGCATGGGGGCAGGGCACTGGCTAATGGCTGCACTCTTGTCTTACACAGGTCAAAGCCATGGAGGACCTCAGCAGCCCAATAAATCGCAATGACCGGTTGCTCAGGGTGGGAGGAAGATTGGGGAAATTCTTCCCACTCTGGGGGAAGCTGACCAGCAACAAATACATTTTGGAGCTGGTATTGCACGGCTACAAAATGGAGCTGACGGAGCGACCCCCGTCGAGGCTTCTGATTACTTCCCTGTCCAAAGACCGGTGGAGATCAGAGGCAATGACGGGGGGCCCTTCAGGAGCTGTGGGACCAGGGAGTCATTATGAGAGTGCCGGCTTCGGAGGAGAACAGGGGGTTTTACTCACACATCTTCTCCAGGATAAAGCCTTCGGGGAAATGCAGACTGATTCTCAATCTGCAGCCTCTCAACAAAGTGGTACTATACAAGAGGTTCCGCATGGAATCGATCTTTTCAATCCGAGAGTTGCTGGCCCTAGGGTCGTTCCTAGCGACCATAGATTTGCGAGACGCATATTTCCACATAGCGGTGAAACAATCGTCGCAATATCTACTGCGGTTTGCAGTAAGGGGCCCGGCAGGCGTCACCTGGAAACAGAGTTATCAGGTAATCAACTCATGTTTTTGTGTATTAAACTGATATCTCAAACAATGTTATCAGTTTTCCCAGCTATCTACATAACATCGCCTCCATGGAGATGAGAAGAGAAGAAGGTGTTTGTTGTCTAAATTAGGAGCAGAGCCTAGGGTGACAACACTGCCTGTTCATAGCATAGAATACAGTGATTGTTGTCACTCTAGGCCATTAGGTATGTTACTAGCAGGATCATCTGGTGAAAATACAGGAAAAAATGGGTGAAAAGGAAACAAATGCAGCCAACACATCTAATCACTGGTGATTTGCAATATATTGAATTTTTGGGCTTAGATGCTGTTTAAGGTAAAGGGAGTTAATTTTCTGACACAGTTGCAGTGTTTGCTTGAAATTGTTCTTTCATTGGCTGTATGTTGAGATTTCATTATTCTTTTATTTAATTTAGTTTTGACATTTCTTTTTTTTAAATCACTTTTTCTTGCAGGTGGCGAGGTCACAAGGGAAGGGGATTTTCCTGTTCCGGAAACTGAAGGACATCATGGACTGGAAGAAGGTAGAGTTAAAGCAGACCTTTACACTAAAAAAATCCAATTCTACCAATGCATCCCTCTATGTATGATGATTGATAATAGACATGTCAGGTGTAAAATGCTGTGAATATGAAATACTTGCACTTGCAGAGCGTTCACTTCCTGCTTTGAAAGGGCAAAATGTCTTCAGTTTGGCACAGCAATGCACACTGGGATTGCCTTGTCATCAGCAGAGTTTTGCTGGGAAATCTCATCTGTAATCTCACGAGATCTGAGGGAAAGGCATTTTCCTCCCCTGAGATGATGTGCATGATCACATGTCCTAGTCACATGTCCTAGTCACATGTCCAGTCACATGTGCCAGAAATCCAGGAAGTAAAAGGAGATCTAGTAATCTGTCTTTAGTAAAAATGGCCACTGTCAGAAGACTGAGGAAGAAAAGAGAAATAAGGAATGCAAAGAATACAAAGCCGGCAATGATCTAGAACAGGGGTGCCCACAATTTCTGTGATCTACTTTTCAAACGACATACTACATGAGATCTACCAACGAAAACAAAAACCTCCCTCGCTCTCTCTCCTCGCTTTCCTGGCTGTCTCTACTCGCTCTCCTGGCTGTCTCTCCTCGCTCTCCTGGCTGTCTCTCCTTGCTCATCCTCCTGCCTTCCTTTCCTTGCTCTCTCTCTCTCCTGGCTGTCATTCCTTGTTTTTTTTTCCTGGCTGTTTCTCCTTGCTCTCTCTTTCCTGGCTGTCTGTCCTCGCTCTCTCTCCCCTAGCTGTCTTTCCTCTCTCCTGGCTCATCTTGCTGTATTTTGCAACAGGCTGTGTAAATGAATATTCTCTGATGTAATACATAGCACTTCAACCACCAGTATCCACCAGGGAGCTTGGCTTGGCTTGGCTAATAGGTAATCATGTGTGCACAGCTAAATAAATATACCAAAATGAAATAAAGGGGCCGCCATTCACACCCTTTGTGATCTACCAGCATCAGCTCTGAGAGCTACTGGTAGATCACCATCTACCTAATGGGCACCCCTGATCTAGAAGTATGTGTTTGTAGATTGTCATTACTAAACATTTCTAAAGGTGTCTTTGTTGTTATTTTAAAAGGTACCGCTTTAAAGACCTGGCTTAGTTTAAGGTGAAGTGACACCTTGGTTTGGATAACGAGAACTTGCATAAACTGTATCCTCTTTTTCTAGGATGGGAGTCGTGCTGACGACCAAAAAGACGAAATCCCAGTGGAAAATTATGTGGCTCAACGTTATGTAGAAAATCCATATTTAATCGGAGGTGAGAAAAGCTGAAACGTTTGTTTGATATTGTGATGACTGCTTGTAGTCGCAATAGAACAAGATACTAGGGGCTCTCATCTTATTTCTAACCAGAAGTAAATATATATGGCTTTGGTTTCATTCACAGGAAGAAAATTTGATCTTCGTGTTTATGTCCTTGTTACTTCGGTGAGATACATTTGGTGTTGGATTTTTATTATTTGTTGTTTATGTCTGTACACGTCTCATTTATGTCATGTGAATGTGTGATCGCTTTTCTATCCTCCCCTGCTCATGTCTGGTCTAATCTCATATGGTCTTGGCCTCTTTGCAAATGGTCTAAAGCAGGGCCTTGGCGAGCCATGCCCATAAAAAAAAAGATGGGGGTTCAAGCAACGTCCTCACTTTTATAGATATTCATTTGTCCCCTGGGTGGGACTAGTGGTGGAGCACCAACACATACCAGGAAAGTGACTTCTATCATCTTCCATGCATGTCTAGCCTGCCCTCCTTGACCTGTGTTATATGTGTCATCATGTCTCACGCTGCAAGTTTCCTCTATAAATGTCTGATTTGTTGTTGGACATACCATGGCCATGCCTGATGGGACCTCTGTCGCCTCATCTTCTGTTTGCTATACCTTGCACAGTTCAGATTTTCCAAGCACCGTTTACGAAAGGCAAGATTGTCACGGTTCCTACCTGTTTGGTTAATACAATATGCACTCTACCATGGTGTTATTATTATTGGTTCTGTTTTTAATGTGCTTCTGATATTGCAGTACATTCCTCTGCGAGCTTGGCTGTACCGAGACGGCTTTGCACGATTCTCCATCACCCGCTACACTCTAAGCAGCATTGATGACCAGTGTATCCTTTCTCTAAATGTCATTGTAAACCATAATTATCCTCTCACCAAATGCCATTTCTACTGCAAACATATTGCAATGCAAAAGGGAGAAATAAAATGTAGCTTTAAAAGAGCCTTGCTGCTGGTTTAAAGAGACTTGCGGCAGGTTTGACATTCAAGCACGTAAAGGTGCACAGACCTGCAACACCTTCCAAAGCTAGCTTAGTCTTAAGGTGGCCATACACTTCCGATGACTGCAATGAGGGGCGGGCTTCCGATGACTGCAAGCGGGCAGTGTTCGGCAGCTGTCGAACAAGCAGGCCACTAACCCGCCGAAAATCGTACGATTCTCGGCGGGTTTTCCAGCCTGCTTGTTCGACAGAAGACGTGCGACCGCACAGTAGAAACGGTCGCACGCCTTCCATACACTTTGCGGTTATCGGACGTTCGCGGGATTTCCCGCGATTATCGTACGATAATCGTACAGTGTATGGGCACCTTAAGGCTGCTCTGACAGGCAACGTTCTGACACTTGTGGATTCAGCTTGCTGCTAAGCCCCACATCCACAGATTCCTAGTTGGCCCATCACTTTAAAGGGCAATAGGAATGTAACAGGAGGAAAGAAGGAGCACACGCTTCGGCACTATTAGGAAGTGATGAACCTCTGTCTTTCAGATCAGCCTGAGATTGGCTGTACTGCATAGCCCTCTCTACTTCCAGTCTGCTCACTGAGCAATGAAGCATTATTATTACCTGTATCTGATTAGCTTTAGGTGAGCAATCTTCTTCCATGCTGTGAAGATAACAAAAATGAACTCAGACGTATATAAAAGGCAAAATGACAAAAGATAAAAATCAGATAACTTGTATAGCTTCTCATTTGAACTTTATAGCCATTCTATATGTACCTGGGGCAGTCGTATTTGCTCCTTACGTACTCAGGCGATGCTTTCTGCAGTGCAACCCTATGCAACGGTTTTGCTTTACTGCTCCTTCTCACAATGCAAGTGTGTGAGTCAGCTGCCTCATTCCAAACAATACACTCAATGTGTAGCTAATACCTTATCTCAACAGTTGTTTAACTCTGTGCTCCATATGAGGCTGCAAGGTTCATTCAACTTCTATCCCGGGCTGGGCGGCCTCAGTGCAGAGAGAACTGACATCATTATGTCAGCACTGCTATGTGCTCCATTACACATTGCATGCAGGGGCCTGTGGGGACACCTTGCAATCACAGTTTAAGTGACACAAAACTCAGGAGTTAAATCTTAAAAATGCATTCAAGTACCTTAAAGTGACATTAAACCCTGAGATTTTTTAACATAAACCAATACTGTAATGTGCACCTTACTGTAATCCATGGTAGTTTCCCTTCTCTTTCCTGCTCTTCCTTTTAAATCTGTATCTCTTCTCATGCTGGGCAGAAGTTCTGTTTTGCAGCAGACTGCCTTGTCTCTGGAATGGATACATGGTGTCTGTGTGTAGGGTCACAACCTGAGCCAGCACTACAGGAAGAGGCACTCAGCTGCAAAGGGAAGTTCTCCCCCAGCATGAGAAATGGGAAGGATTTAAAAGGAAGAGCAGCAAAGAGAAGGGAAACAACCATGGATTACAGTAAGGCACACATTACAGTATTGGTTTATGTTAAAAAATCTGAGGGTTTAATGTCACTTTAACTAATAACAAAACTGGACCTTATTTGTGTATCACTCGGATCGAGGAACTCTGGCCCCTGTGCTTTAACTACAAAACCCAAAATGCCTCTGGGAGTCATGCCTGTGGTTGTCAGAGTCTTGTAATGCCTCATGGGACTTGTAGTTCCACAGCAGCTGGAGGGGCGGATTTGCCCACCCCTGCTCTAGTGGTACTTCCAAATCTCTGTATTAAATCCTATAAGAAACTACGCAAAGACAAGCAGATCAAATGCGAAAGGTACCTGGAGAATTACATTAAACAATTAGCAAGAAAAACATGAAGGCTGCCAATGGGTGGCTGCCTAAAACAACTAGTCGCCTGGCTGTCTTGGCCCTCAATGCTTTCGTTGTCACTGACCCAGAGCAAGCAATACGGATTAGGAAGTCAGAATGGAGTAAAATGTCTAACCTGTTTTCTTGTCCCAGGTCCATGCCTTAGGCCCCGTTCACCCTGAGCGGTTTATTGCGCAATTTCCGCAGCAAAATCGCTCGATGTAGCTCGTCCAATACATTTCAATGGAGCTGTTCACATCTCACAGCTCAATGTCGCCTGTAGCTCGTCGCTCAACCTTGTCGCTCGTACATGACCCTTTTTTCCGCGGATGTCGTGCGATTCGGCTCCAATAGACTATGGTGTGGCGCAAAATCGCGCATTACCGGCGATATTGCACGACTTTGTTGCGTGATTTCGCTCTACAGATGGGTCATTTTTGCACTGTAAAATGGAAGGAAAGAATGATGTCACATCAAGATCGCTGTTGATTGGTTACAGCCCAATGTAGCAGCGACGAAGTTCCAACCCAAAAAACGCACTATGTAGCGCGATAAAACGTGCACTGTCGCTCAATATCGCGCAATGTAGCTCAAAGCTGCGCAATATCCATGTCGCTCAGTGTGAATGGGGTCTTAGAGAGTATGGAAGGGAGGGATTAGCATGTCATCCAGCTAAAGCAGCCTTCATATTGTCCTTGCAGGTTTCTTTTTAGGGTAAATACTGCTATAATACACTCACGAAAAATACACTGTACTTGCCCTTTAAATCCAGCAACAATGAACAAATAGAGAGTTAGCGCTGCACATTGCTACTTGAGTCTGTGGAACAGATGGGGAAAATCGAAGCCTGCTTTAGATCAGATCCCTGATGAGATTAGCCTTCTACGAAGTTATTGATCATTAGAAGAAACAACATGAGCTCTATCACATTGTTTCTGGTTATTCCGTTATTTGCTGTCGGTTGTATGTGAGCCAAGTGGGCAGCTGGCAGCTCCCAGGCGTGTTAGTGAAACATGCGGTGAAACCGGCTGCTCGTTGCAGAATGACTCACGCACAAACGCTCGCCAGATCGCTTCTTGGAAAATAACGTGAAATTAAACCAACTTTATAAAAGGGGATGTTTAATACAGTTTAAGATATCCTGGCAAAGGTTAAAACGAAGCAATTTCATCTACAAAAGAGGCTCTGAAAACATGTCAAGTGTGTTGTAAAAAATAACTCTGGAAATAAATTGTCCCCATCAGGGGCGTAACTAGAAATCACACGGCCCCATAGCAAAATTTTGTATGGGGCCCCGTGATTGCTAGTCATGCCACTTGCAGAGCCCCAGCGGAGAGTGACCCTGCAGAGCCCACTATAGACCCTCTATAGTGGGCTCTGCAGGGTCTGAGATCTCTTACCTGTCACTGCCTCTGTGGTCACCGGGCCCCGACTCCTGTTCTGGCCCCGCCTCCTCTATCGACGGGCCCGCCTTCTCTTACATCACTGGCCCCACCTGCTCTTAGGTCGCTGGCCAGTGATGTAAGAGGAGGCGGGCCCCATTCCGAACACCGCCCTCATCTGCCGCAGCGGCTGGCTGTCACTGACACAGCTCCGCAGCGGCTATGAGGGGAAATGCGCCGTGGGCCGCTGCTGAGCTGTGACAGCCAGCACCCCCACATGCCATAGTATGGCGATTGTTACGCCACTGGTCCCCATAAAGCTGTACTACAGGTATGCAGATTGAAGGAAAGAGCTGTGAAGGAGAGATGAGCTCATCAGTCTGCTGGTTATCCTCCACTGTTCATCCACAGGCTGTGGAAGACCTGTAAGGGCCGGTGTAGACCTAGGCGATCTGGGACATGCATCCCGGGACCACACAATCGCGTGCAGTTGCACATAGTGGTTGCCGCGGTTACAACTGCACGGCAATTGCAGAAAAACGGTACATTTACCCTTTTTGACAGACACGATGCATGGCTGTTTTCGATTGCACGGGTGGAATCGCAACGGGCAATCCGCCTGGTGTGACTAGGGTGCCATTAGAAAATAAGTGCGATCGGCGCTGGTGGGCGACTCCAGTCGGTATCGTGCACGATTGCCGCACGGTCACAGATTGTGCAGGTGTGAACCTGGCATAAGTGTTGCTGAACTGCTGCAGGGAAAGCTAATCAGGTCTCCTGTCCTACCAGACAGGGCTGTGCGATAGAGCCGTGTAAATCGCAGGACTGAATGGACAGAAATACAAATCCTTTAGCAGGTAAAACAGCACAAATATATGTATTTAATTTATCTATTTAGCTGCCTGGCCAACCATTAAACCATTTAAGCAAAGCAGTGCCTGTAAAACAATACCTTTTTAATACTTGCATGCCTCACTACGCACACAGCCTATCTGTACCACTGTCACATAATATTCTGCATCCATTTCCTGGGGTTTGTCAGACAACGGTTCCCCTTCTACTGTGTCCTGTAGCGTTGGAGGAGTCGGCACAATCACTTTAAGGTAAACCCCTGCCTTGTCCATGCAGGGCAAAGCAACAGGTTTAATGTCCTCTTCTCCAGCAGAACATCTCCTCCTTAGTGCAGGAGCTGCCTCGGATCACAAAAAATGATATAATATTGGTAACTTGTTTAAAGCTTTCTGGAGGTTCTCTTTAACTTGGTAATACAGATATACATTTGACCAATGTGGCTGTGCAGAAAACTGCGCCCGACTATGACCCAGAGAAGGTGAGAGAAGAAGCGTTATTCCGGGTTCTAAAGGCACTTTCTGTATCGGTGCTGTGCAAACTGCTGCTGTCCAGCTGCTGGAAAAGCAAAGTAGAAGACCTGGGACCGTACACAGGCATGCTGGGTAAAGCAAAAAGTTCACCTAACATTCCCCTCATTCTCCGCAGCACCTTTCCTTTACTTCCCTGCCACCACGATTGAAAAGGCTCGGTACTTCCAGGTTTGTGGAGCATGTTACATAGTTAGTCAGGTTGAAAAAAGACACATGTCCATCGAGTTCAACATGTGACTCAATCTCCTTATTCTTATATGATAGCAATGGTGCTTAGTGATAGGCCCAGCTCTGTCATGTGTAGGTGGGGAGTGAGTCCTTCATGTCATAATTGGAGATGATAGCACATCCCCTCTTCACTCCTGGTGGCTGAATGGAACGATGGGTGATCAAAGGTAGGGGATTATTTGCTGCCGGTGAGGTTAAGTGAACCTATTGCTTTATGGGCAAATCTCAGCATTCAGTTTAAGTCCGTTTTGCTATATGTCGAAACTAGGTAGCCAGCAGCTAGCAGGACACGCTGTAAATGTTGTCTCTTCCACATCCAGGATTGCTCTGTTTTGTATTACACTATCCATGACATTGCCTGTTCTTCACAGGGCTGTAAATGGATGATTCAACAGCTGCGCCACTACCTGACCAGCAAACATGGCCCAGAAGCAGTGGAGACCCTCTTCCAAAACATGGATAACATCTTCATCAAGACCCTGCAGAGCGTCCAGAAGATCATCATCAATGACAAGCATTGCTTTGAACTCTACGGCTATGACATCCTACTTGATGAAGACCTTAAACCGTGAGCACCGACCTTTTTTTTTTTAACCTGGAACTAGGAACCTTTGTCTAATTGAAACTTCTGCTTAGGCCCTTTAAAAAAGGATGAGTGACTGTTGTGATGACTGAGTCTTCTAAACAAGGGGCTCGGCATGAAATAATCACTCATGTGAACTATTCGTTGCATGACTGGCATTTATAATCAAGTTTGGATAATCTGAAATGGCCATTTTGGTCTATACACAGAGGGGTTATGTGTACATACAGACCGACCTTGTGAATTGGCAAAAAATTGGGTAGGTCCAAGAGGACACAGCAAAACCATGCTAAAAGGGGGCATACATACACACAATGTTAACAACGTTATGCTATGTTGATTAAACATTAATAGAAAAGTTCTTCCTGGGGAAGAATGCTCCTCACTGTAGTGCTTGCCATGTCACTGAAGGTCAGGTAGCTTGGAATAAGAATAGGCTGACCCACCTATTTATGAGATATCATGTGACTATAACGCCTAGGCCTTCATGTATGAGTCTAACACTGAAGAAAGCCTAAAGTAGGAGGATTTCCCCAGGAAAGATCATTTGTTTTTCCCTTTTTTTATGCGTTACATGTTAACATTTAATAGAGGTTCAGTGTCTCAGAAAGCAAAGTGTCCTTTTTGTCCTGACTTATCCAGACTCTTGCTATTTGTAGGTGGCTCCTGGAAGTCAATGCCTCACCTTCTCTTACCGCCAGCAGCCAAGAGGACTTCGAGCTCAAGAGTCGCCTCTTGGAAGACACCCTGAATGTGGTAGACATGGAGGGCAGGTAAGGACCTCACCTTTCTTCCCCACATCCAATCATTATCCAAATCCTGCCGCCTTCACCTTTGTAACATCTCCAAAATACGCCCCTTCCTCATCAATGAAACTGCAAAACTACTCATCCACTCCCTTGTTATATCTCGTCTTGACTATTGCAACTGCCTCCTCATTGGCCTTCCACTACACAGGCTATTCCCCCCTTCAGTCTATCATGAATGCAGCTGCCAGACTCATTCACCTTACCAACCGCTCAGTGTCTGCAACCCCCCTCTGCCAATCCCTCCACTGGCTTCCACTCGCCCAAAGGATAAAATTCAAAATATTAACAATCGCTTACAAAGCCATCCACAACTCTGCCCCCGGATATATCTCAAACCTAGTCTCAAAGTATCATCATAACCGTCGGCTCCGCTCATCCCAAGACCTCTTGTTTTCCAGCTCCCTTGTCAACTCCTCCCATGCTCGCCACCAGGACTACTCTAGAGTCTCTCCCATCCTTGGAACTCCTTACCCCAACCTGTCCTTCTATCTCCCACTCTGACTGCCTTTAGGCATTCCCTAAAGACTCATCTCTTCAGGGAAGACTATCCCGCCTCAACCTAACCACTGAACTATCACGTTCAACAATTCATCCCCACAGCTCCCTCCTCATGTATCACTGGCCCCTCCCTTTTAGATTGAAAGCCCTCAGGGGCAGGGCCCTCCTTACCATCTTGTCTTGATTTGTATTGTGATTGTAATGTCTTCCTTATATTGTAAAGCGCTGTGCAAACTGTTTGGCGCTATATAAATCCTGTATAATAATAATAATTTGAAGGACTATATAAACAACAGTTGCTTGCTGTGCAGAAACCTCTACGATCAGCTGCCATATTCTTTTTATTTCAGCCATGCTGCTCTTGGGTACAAACTGTCCTTTGATAAGAGCTTTCACGGTGAAATAAACACTGCTCCATTTTTGTTTTGGGATTGGCTGGCTTGACTGTCAGGCCTATCAGACAGCCATTCACATAACAGCAATAAAAGCTATATGCTGCATTCTTCAGAAAATGAACGGGGAAATCCAAAACTTACCCTTGCAGTTAGGCTACCCCAGCACTGCAAGTGCTCATGTTGTCCAGGGGACTTAAAGGAGAACTATGAGGGGGGTGCTTTTCACTCCCCTCATAGTTCTATCCGACCTGTGACAATGAGACTGTCACAGGTCGGCTCAGTAGATCGGGAAGTGAGTGAACACATACCGGCGTTCGCTCACCTCTCGATCCTGTCACGGCTCTCTGCCGTGACGGGGAGGGGCTGGATTCCCATCTCCCCGCTCCGATCTGCCAGCGCTGACTGGCGGAACAGGCGGGGGCGGGTACAGCTGGCTCTGCCTCTAGATAGTCAGAGCCAGCTGTCACTCACGCAGCTGGGCGGATCCCGACGTCCATGTCGGGATTCACTCCGGCTGCGGCGTCTCAGTATACCGCGAGCTGTAGCTCACGGTATACTGAGCTTAGGGTAACGGGAGGACGCTAGTTTGTGTCCTCCCGTTACCCTAAGGAGAACTATGGGGAAAAACACTGACCACATAGTTCTCCTTTTAAAGCAGATTTACTTGCTGGATCCTCTGTCCTACTGGCTCCCTCAAGACTGCTGGGCCGGCCTCGAGCCTCTTCTCCCCTGGGCTCCAGTGGTCTAAGACGTGATGACCACGGATGTCATCACGTCTTATGCAGGTCCATTTTCCCCAGAGTTCTTCTCTAAGGCTCCTCCTTTCACAGGGATAACATTTTGTGATTTTTCTAATTGTTAATAGAATGTTATCACCAAAGAGCTACAGTATAATCTCTATTTTCTCAGTTGAGGATATATGGTCATCCTTTAAAAATTCCCTATTTCCTCATGTGCTCTGTATTCACTCAGATTAACCGGGAAGGAGAAGAGAGTCGGAGGATTCGATCTAATGTGGAACGACGGGCCTGTGTCACGTGACGATGGACAACAAGATGCCCTCAGCAATGGAAACTTTGTAGCCAACACACACTTAGGTAAAAAAAAAAAGAACAGAAAAACTCTGTGGCCAGAGAATCAACCCCAACAGGTATAAACACCACCACCTTTCTCTTTTTCAGGCTGTGTCAATGACAGGAAGAAAAATCTCAGACAGATACTGAAATCTACGCACACTAAGAAATTGTAGCTAACCGAAGACCTTCCTCTGTACAGTGACTGTAAATAAAGTTTATGTCTTTGAATTACAGTATGTATGGTCAGTGGCGTCACGCCCCCTCTGAAAAGTGGGGCGCTCGGTCATGGACCGAACACCCGACAGTATCAGGAGAGAGGAGGGGACCCGGCGGCATACCTTATCCCGCCGGGTGACTGTCCCCTCCTCTCTCTGCCGGCGTCCATCACCAAGATGGCCGCCGGCAGGTATCAGAATACTGCCGCGCATGCGCAGTGACGTCTCGGCGGGGTGACACTCGGTTACCGCTCCGGGTGTCACCCAGCCTCGGGACGCCCCTGTGTATGGTCATAGCTTCATTCACTCAAATATTTTTGGGATCCTGAAGAAGCGGACCTGCTCCCCAAAATCTGTTGACCTATATCCTGGTTAAGATTTAATATTTATAACCCATCTCCAGGGAAATCACAAACGTCTTAACTGCAAGGGTCAAATGATCATTTAGGTCCAGGGTATCAGGAAAAGCAGTTTTACCTACCTGATCACTGCTCCCCCAGCAGTCAGTGCTCTCCTTGCCTCCGCTATGTCCCTTGACATCGTGATGTATAATGCAGGGCTATGGGCCCTGCATTGTACTTTTATCATGTCAGCTGGTCTCCCACCACCAGAGTGGAAGGAGGTGAAAAGGCTGCAGGTGCCGTTCCTGTAACCTAGAAGGAGCCTACAGGAGTGGGGAACAGGTAAGTAAAAGTACTTTTTCCAGGTATTCCAGACCTAAACAAGCATTTTGCCCTTGCAGTGTGGTGGTGGGGGGTTTATTTGTGGTTTTCCAAGAGTTCAACTGTAACGTCATAATGGTTTGAAAAATATGATTTCCCTTGAAGTGTACACTGAGTGGCCAGATTATTATGACCACCCCATCAGTACTTCATTGGGCCAGTGTTGGAAAGTCTTTTGACCATTCCTTGACATTTGATGAGGATAGGTGCGCAGTGTAAGTGCGCTGCAGGCCCGGGTATATATCTGATATAGAGTAAGTCTTTCCCGAAATGAGGGTCTCCTGGAAGGAGGAGGCAAACAATTTTCTGGGGTCACCGGAGATCATATGCCACGTGGTTTGTGCTTGTAGGTAATACAGAAAATGAGAGGCAGGCAATGCATACTTTTGCGCCAAGTCTGGGAAGGATAACGGTTGGAAAGTACCCTCATGGAATAGCTGTTTCCAGAGGGTTAGCCCCTTCCTGTGCCACATCTTGTAAGCCGTGTAGTCTTCGCCCTGAGGAAACATAGGATTTCCCAGAAGAGGACATAGTGCTGACATATAAGGCGATAGGCCCAATCGGCGTCTGATCGCCCATAAGTCCTATATACCTTTTTAATATTAGGTTTCTCTCCCAAAATATTTTTGTGGATTTGGTATAAAAAAAAATGATATCTTTCTTACAATTATATTTTAATATGCTCTGTATTGAATGTTGAGTGCTGAAAGTAATGTCCCATTTTTTTTTTGGCCAATAAACATTTTAGAGAAGTCGTCATATTCTATAGGTGTATGGCCAGCTTAAAACACTGCTGAATCATCCCTACCATGAAGCCTCAGTAGAGCGGTACCTCCCTTCCATAAAAGCAGATGAGTGGTTTCTTTATACGAGCTGCCACTAGCACCATGATTGCTAGTGTGTCATGGGTCTAAGGGTGCACTTTAGGTTCTTCTCACTTGCAGGTAGCTACAGAAAAAGCCATTTCTGAATACTGGTTGCTGTAATATACCGCACTTTAACTTATTAAAAGAGAACTATGAGGTGAGTGCTTTTCACTCACCTCATAGTTCTAGCCGACCTGTTACAATGAGACTGTCACAGGTCGGCTCAGTAGATCGGGAGGTGAGCGAACACATACCGGCGTTCGCTCACCTCTCGATCCTGTCACGGCTCTGTGCTGTGACGGGGAGGGGCTGGATTCCCCCCTCCCCGCTCCGCCAGCGCTGACTAGCGGAACGGACGGGGGAGGGTACAGCTGGCTCTGCCTCTAGATAGCTGGCTCTGCCTGTCAGTCACGCAGCTGGGCGGATCTCGGCACAATTGTCGGGATCCGTTTCAGCTGCGGCGTCTCAGTATACCGCCAGCTACAGCTCGCGGTATACTGAGCTTAGGGTGACGGAAGGACGCTAGTTTGTGTCCTCCCGTTACCCTAAGGAGAACTATGGGAAGAAGCCCTAACCCCATAGTTCTCCTTTAAGTAAAAAGACCATATGAAACAATTGGAGGAGCACTAAACACTAAACCAATAGTGGCCAATAGCAGATTTTCACTTTAGTTTTATCAATTAAAATACAAATCTTAATTTCTTAGTTTATTCAGAACATATAAATAAACATGGTGAAATTCTTATAAAAATATTAAACACAAAGCACAGTTCTATAAATATTAACTACATATAAACTGTGCAGCATTCTCTGTTATTCGTTCAGCACTTTATTCATTGCTTTCATTTCGTCCGGGTCCAGCGCAGTCAGGTGGAAACCTTTCAGTTCAGGTTTTCCTGCAGATAAAATAAAAAAAAATTAATCAAAGATCATTCTGCCCATACCGATATGTACATTTTTAATGATTGGCAAATGCGGTTGAGTTGAATTACCTTCCGATGCCACATTGTGAACCTTGCCCCCACTTACATGGTCTAGAACAGCCTTTCTCAACCAAGGTGCCGCAGGACCTTGCGATGTCTCCTGACCCTCGCCAGTGCGGCTTCCACATATTTTGCAAAAGTTGTGCAACTGAATTTTTAACGAATTCTGTTGGACACGGCAATTTGTCTTGTTGCAGGCTAGTCTGTAAGTGTGCTGGGAGACTTCTGCGGCTTATATTGTTGTAAGCCCTTCCATGTGCCTTCACTAAACAATAGGTAAAAACCGACACTCGTAAAGGGGATCGTCCATCCAAATACTTCATTTGTAAGAAGGCATAAAAGCAGCAAACAAATGCTTACATATTTAATCCCTCAAACTGGACCTTAGTTGTAGGCGTAGCCAGGCCCAGTTGGGGGGCTGAAACATGTAAGCAATTGTTTGTTTGCTGCTTTTATGTTTTCTTGCAGATAAAGTACAGTAAACTCCGGTATTCAACTAGCCAGAACTCTCATCTAACCAGAACAAAAATATCCCCTATGTACTCACTGTTCTGCTGACTTGCAGCATGTATTATCCTGGAAATGATCATGTGTCTATTTGTCTTAATTTGCTTTTGATGACTGCATTTCAATATTAATATGAAGTCAATACAGAGTTTGTTATGATATGGTATAGTATGGCATTAGTTAGACCTATTTTTAATAGTAACTCTCAAGCAAAGAGGAACTACATTTATCCGCAATCTACCAATCCCCGTGGATGCCGGATAATGGGGAGTTTACTGTATTTGGATGGACGGATCCCCTTATGAGTGCCAGTTTTTACCTATTGGTTAGTGAAGGCTCTGGTGGAAGCTTTACCAGGCATCGAGGTTCCAGCAGCGAGATTGGAGACCAGAAGGTAGAGGTGTTCCATGTTTCTTAATTGCCCTTCTATGTGCACCTTGCTGCAAAGGCTAGTTATCAATTGTGCGGTTGCCATGTATTTTGAGCTTACCTGATTTTAATCTGCTGAATTTCACTAAACACTTACAAGTCTCCTTCTTGCCCCCAGCCTATGACTGGACAGTGAAAGTAGAACCAGCAGATCGATGAGCTCATCTGTCACTGCGCTCTCTTTCTAGCAGCATGTCCCTTGTTAGCACTGCAACACAGCTGACTGGCTCCTTGTGTTGCTTCTACCTCTCCCAGTCAGAGCTCTGTTGTGCAAGAGGCTGACACCAGGTCACATTCAGGTACCTGTACTACTTGCATTTAAAAATACTTTTAAATGATGTATTCATGAATGCAGAGCTGCATTCAGTTGTATCTTTTCTATCTGCCTGGAGTAAAGCTTTAAATAAGAAAACATGAAAAGTAACTTATTTCTAATGTTAGATGATCCGAGTCAGACACTCACCTTGTGCTTCATATAGCTGGTTTACTTTTCCTTTCAGTTGGGAGCGAAGTGTATTAATTTCCTTGTCCAGCTGCTCCTGATCTGTCAGAGAATGTCATATGTAAATGTTACAATCACACAACAGTCATAGCACATCATAGCTCCCCCTGGACCAGCTCACCTCGCTGAATCATCTCCTTGGTTTTGTTTTTTGGCAGATTTATGAACATACAGCCAAAGCAGACAGTCACCATCTCTGCAAAAGGGAGAACACTGTAATTAATACATAAACGTGTCCTCTGAGTGCAAAAATCTTATCTGTTGCAAGTTAAAAGGAGAACTACGAGGCGAGTGATTTTCACTCGGGCTCATAGTTCGAGCCGACGTGTGACAATGAGACTGTCACAGGTCGGCTCTATAGATCGGGAAGTGAGCGAACACATACCGGCGCTCGATCACTTTCCGATCATCTCCCTGCAGAGAGCTGTGACTGTCAATAATAGAAGTCACCAGCACTCGATGATATGTGCAAGAAGTGAAGCACTTTTTATTAAATTGTCACATGCGTCAAACAGCCAACGTTTCGGGGCCACTCGGGGGTCCCTTCTTCAGGGCGACATAGTGTCAGTCACAGCTCCCTGCAGGGATTCCCCCCCTCCCCTCCAGCGCTGACTGGCGGAACGGACAGGGGAGGGGGTGGGCACAGCTGGCTCTGCCTCTAGATAGGCAGAGCCCGCTGTCACTCACGCAGATGGGCGGATCTCGGCAGCATTGTCGGGATCCGTCCCGGCTGCGGTGATCTCGGTATGTAGTGAACAATAGCTCGCTTCATATATATATATATAGCTTTGGGTCACGGTAGGACATTAGAATATGTCCCGTGACCCTTAAGAGAACTGGGATATGGAGATAGATAGATAGATCTATCTATATAGTTTAGCCTTCCAGTTGTAATTCGTCCAGCTTGTGATTCACACACCTTGCCACACTGCAAAGCCAGAAACACTAAAGTACTACGGGCTAGGTAACCTCAGCATTCCAGCTGTTGTGCAACTACAAGTTCCATGAGAAACATGGCTACAAGCATGGCTCCCAGAGGCAAGATGGGATTTCAAGCATCAGCACACCTGGAGTGCTCGAGTTGCCTACATATGCTCTACTATTTCCGGTTTACTGCTTCTTAGGTCACATGCCTGCTCAGTGGATGGAGGCTGATTCTGTATCCAAAGAACACAATGGAGGTGTAGAGATGACACTGGAGGCTGCATACTGACCCAGGAATTCGTGATGTCCCCTGTCTGACAGTGAAGTGTGGCAGAAGAGTGTAAACCACAGTACAGGCCGGACAGAATAGCAAATCTCTTGGCTGGTAAAGGCGATGACATATGTGTATTTCAACTGATTAGAGCGTTGCCTGCAGTTTAATTTTAACTCCTGTGACATCAGTATTAAGGAGACAATGGTACACAGTTATATTCAACTGCAGGTAGGGCCATTGGCTAAAGGGGGCCTGCCACCATACCAGGTATCGGCACAGTCATTAGCAAGCAATGGCCTTTGTTATAACAACCCCGGGACTGCTAAGGTGCTTACAGTAATCCCACTTACAATGGCCTGCCATGGTATTTACAGAACAGATGCAGGTATGCAGGTTTCAATGTTTCTTACAACTTATACAATGAAAAATGATTTTTTTCCTAACCAACACTGGAGTATCCCTTTACATTTTCTTCATGGACGTTGTTAGGGGATCACCTGATTTATCGGTGTCTGTGCTCAGAGCCCTCAAAGCCTCTCTATTCTGGTTCCTCTTGATGTCCAGGTCTACGATCTAGGAAGGCGAGATGTCAATCATCAATGGAGATGGATTATCATTCATGGTAAATAATATCAAACGCTGTTCACATGAGAAATGGCGCCCCTGTGGCTGTTCAGCTGCTGCAGACCCACAAGTACCATTATGAGGTGGCATGGCCTGCTGGGACAGTAAGATCGGTGGGTCTGATGCTGGCGATATCTATTTAATAGTCGGTCGTGCCCATCAGATGTAATATACCCAGAGCAGGCAACCTCAGCACTCTAGCTGGTATGGCACTACAAGTCCCATGAGACATTGCAAGAGTGACAGCCACAGGCATGACTCCTAGAGGCATGATGGTATTGGTAGTTCTACCGCAGCTGGAGCGCCGAGGTTGCCTAGCCCTGCACAATATAAATGAAGTCGCATGTTTCTCTCTATGCTTTATTTTACTTATATAGTGCCGCAATATTCCAATTCCATACAACTGGCATTCTCAACCAAGGCTCCAGGTATCCAGAGATGATGGGGGTTTTCTTGGGCTGTGACCTTCCATTTGATGGTGTCTGTAAAGTTTCAGGTCTAACATTCCTTGGCAGAGCCACCGGCATGACGCCATTATTCTTCCCACTGACCTTCAATGTAAGGGGCATTTTTTTAAATGACCCCTGATGGATTTATTTTAGCTGGAGGTTCCCTGAGACCTGAAAATGACTAAGGGTTCACCTGGAGTAAAAAGCTTGAGAATGGGTGCTTTAGAGCCATTTGCATCACTATTTGCCCCAAAACAGGGAAATTTGTCCATCCGTGTACATATTTCCCATGTTTCTTGTACCAGTAACACCCAATCCAAAACAAACAAAAAAAAGTTCTGGCTGGCATTGCACTTTAGTATGATTTTGGGCTGTGCAACAGAATTGCAGAACCTGGAGGAATCATGTGCAAACTCCATGCAGTCAGAGCTCTATCGGGAACTGAAATCCAGACCCCAGTGATGCAAGGCCACAATGTTAACCATTGAGCTGTCGTGCCTCGTGCCCCCTCCCCTCCGGGGGTAGTTTCTCACCCAACCCAAAAACACATACCACCCTGTGCAAAGCTTCCTCTGAATGTGGCTAAGTGGGGAATTCGTGAAATATTTTGGCTGGTCTGCTATCAATTTATCATTATCAACATTTATAAATAAAATAACAAATGATAACATTTGGGTTCTGTACAATAAATCATTTGCCCATATTGCCCAAATCATTGGAAGAATGACAGGTTCCATTCTGATTGTCAGGTATAAAGAATACAAACACTCCAGCCTCCCTCCACGTGTTCTCTCCCTATTGCTCCTTCTCACCTGCCTTCTGTCCACCAGCACATCCTCAGCCTTCCACTCCACCTCCTGCAAGTAGCTCAGCACTGCATCCATCCCTTCATACTCCTCCATCCTTCCCTCTGCTATTAGACGCGCATTTTACACGTCTCTTCCGCCCTTCCTTTGCCCACAATCTCCAGTCACTATTCGTGAAAAGCGTCTTCAGTTTTCTGGTCTTCACTGCAGTGACGCGGCCATGTTTCCGAAGTCATTGTTCGGCTTTTTCTAGGCGGGCGACTTCGGAAACATGGCCGCCGTTCAAGAGGCAGATGGCGTCCTAGAGTTGGGCCTCTAGCACCTGTATGCGTACGCGCGCTTCCTCAGGTTGCTATGGGAACGCGCTGAGGTAACCGAGAAGGAGAGCTAGATTTTGGGCCCATGGATATTTTAAATGCTTAATTTCATGGTCCCCTGACAGGTTCCCAGTTTACCTGTTCAACAGTATGTGACGGGGCATGCTGGTGCTTGTAGTGCTGCAGCTTACATAGTTGGCAGCGTTTTAAATTGAGTTGGACTTTGAAAAGTGCCTATGGAGAGCAGGGGAGACTTGGTTAACAATGGCTGTGAGAGAAGAAAAGCTATAAAATGAAAGAAATATGGAGGCTGCCATTGTGCTGCCAGACTGTCATGCTGACCCCCTGAGGAGTATGTAACCTACAGAGGTCAGGGGTATGTAGCGTACAGAGCGCAGAAGTATGTAGCGTACAGAGCGCAGGAGTATGTAGCGTACAGATCGCAGGAGTATGTAACATACAGAGGTCAGACGTATGTAACGTACAGAGGTCAGGAGTATGTAACGTACAGAGGTCACGAGTATGTAGCGTACAGAGCGCAGAAGTATGTAGCGTACAGAGCGCAGAAGTATGTAGCGTACAGAGCGCAGGAGTATGTAGCGTACAGAGCGCAGGAGTATGTAGCGTACAGAGCGCAGGAGTATGTAACGTACAGAGGTCAGGAGTATGTAACGTACAGAGGTCAGGAGTATGTAACGTACAGAGGTCAGGAGTATGTAACGTACAGAGGTCAGGAGTATGTAACGTACAGAGCGCAGGAGTATGTAACGTACAGAGCGCAGGAGTATGTAACGTACAGAGCGCAGGAGTATGTAACGTACAGAGCGCAGAAGTATGTAACGTACAGAGCGCAGGAGTATGTAATGTACAGAGCGCAGAGGTTAGGAGTATGTAACGTACAGAGCGCAGAGGTTAGGAGTATGTAATGTGCAGAGGTCAGGAGTACGTAACATACAGAAGCCAGGAGTATATAACATATAGAGTGCAGAGGTCTGGAGTATGTAATTCAGAGTGCACTGGTCAGTAGTATGTGAAGTGCAGGACTCCGTAGTATGTAATGCAGAGTGCAGGGGTCATTAATATGTAACACAGAGTACAAGGGTAAGGATTATATAACACAGAGGTCAGTGGTATGTAATTCAGAGTGCAGGAGTCATTAGGGAACACAGAGTGCAGGGGTCATTAGTAGGGA